TTTTTTGAACAAGGCTTTGAAGATGGCTGACCCCTACCAAACTTATGGAGTACAGCCATAACATGACCTGTGAAACACTTTTTGGGATGGCTTCTTGGAGTTCAATGCTTGGTCCTCAAAAAGGGCACTTGAAAAGCAAAAAGACCTAGTTTTGCTTAAGGCTTTCGAGGGGGGTGACATTAATGCAGCATGGTTTCCTTTGCCGAATGACATTATGCAAGTGAGGCTTGAAAGGCAAGACCTGCTGCCAGTGCCGATTCATTTTGCTTTTCCATTGGTCAAAATGGAAGATTGGATAGGCTGGGCCAAGGACATGCTCATTGATAATGGTTTTGTGGAGATATTGCGTGCTGCTAGAATCCTTAAGTTAGTGGCTCTATGTCAGACTTTGCAGATTAGCAGTCACATGGAGTGTCTCTGTCATTTGGTGAGAAGGTAGTGTACAAGTACTCATATTTTCATCCTCACTTTCGAAGAAGTCACGGTGACTTTAAAAGATGTGATAAATCTGATGCTGTTACCCATTGTTGGGGAAAAAGATCAACAGCATATAGCACTCTTGCTAAAGGAGTGCATGGCACTGATGGCCCTGAAGAAAGTGATGAGGAGAAATGCCAGTGCTTTTTCTCGTTATGGAGAGGAGAGTGCAACATTGATTTCCTAACTTGGATGCGATACTTCCAGAATGGCAAGGGCAAAGATAGTCCATATGTGCGTGTAGCTTTTCTTATGTCTTGGTTGATCAAGTTTGTTCTTAGGGGTTTCCTAAATCATGAGATCATGGCTAAGTGCATTTCACTAGCAATCCGCTTGGCTGAGGGTGTAAGGCTTCCTTTGGCGCCGTTGATGTTAGGTACACTTTATCACATGCTTGACTTGCTTTGCTTTGATGAGATTCTTGGTACTAGCTATTATATCATTTAGTCACAAGTGTGCTTATCTTTGCTACAAATGTTTGTGTGGGAAAGATTTCACCAATACTGCCCTGGCCATGTTACCAGTGGGAAAGCATTGAAGGAATATCCTATGGCGAAGTGTGGTTATACTAGTGGGACAACCCCACTAACCTACTCTTGGATAGGGAAAAGAAAAGTAAAGAGGCTAGTAGTCCTAGAGGTTGATTGCCTTTTGGATGACTACGACGATTTTAATTTCCATGAATGCAAATCCATGTCGGGGATGTTTACACTACCCGAGGTGAGCTTTTTTGATAAGATGCTTCCGACAATGCCTAGGAATCAAATTGTGAACTTTAATGTGAGAGACTTGAGCCATTTGGAGATGTTGGTAGTGATCATTCCATCAATGTTGTCATGCATTACATGGTGAGGGACATGGAGTTTATAATGCTACTGCCTAGAAAAAGTTGCAAGGCAATTTGGCTATGATCAAGATATACCTCCTGCTCCTTCCTCGGATAAGATAGATTGGAATAGGGCCATGCGACCTTACATTGACGAAGCTACTACAACCATGTGGAGCGAGGGTGCTGTCACACTTAGATTTTTTAGCACTGCTAGAATGTCAACTATGCCACTGCTAATGTTGGAATATTGTGGCGCATTGCTAAAGAAATTTGAGGCTTTTATTCAATCACTGCTAGAGGTTGTGGAATATATTCTTGCTTCTCGAGATTGCAAGTGCCTTTTCACTCACAACAATTCTTTCTTGAGTTACTACAATAAACATTCTTAGGGCTTTTTGATGAGAGAAGATAACGGGCAATGGGTGCCTGTCTATCTGGCCATTCCTAGCATGGCAGAGGAGGAATACGACCAAGGTGTGGTTTCATATGGCACCCCCAACATGGCGAAGAAGTCGACAACAACAAAGACTCAACCAGAAGGGACGATACTTAAGGTATGAACTCTTGTACTTTCGTAAAAGCTGGAAAACGCTCTTGCAATCATCAAGGTTAAGTTGTTGACTTGGCTAGTTTCCTTTTGTATATAGTCGTGCCCTATTAGCAAACTAACTCCTTTTAGGGCTAGCAATTTTGAACTAGTCCTGGGGGGATTTATACTTAAAAGACATGCCAGCATTGCCATCACTGAGAAAGGTACTTTAAAAAATCCCATGAAATAGCTTACATTCTGGTGTCGTACTTAGTAGGATGGTATAATTCTTTGTTGCTCAATTGCACCCTCGTTTGCCTCACTAGGTGTTGAAAAGGGCAAGACCAAGGCTACAATCGGCATCAACGAAGAAAAGGAGAAAGTGGTTACTGAAGAAATTAGCTCTGACTCCAACGATAGTAGTAGTGATAAATCCAATGACCAAGATGCCTCATTTGAGAATGAGAATGGTTTTAAATAGGGTGTAAAGATGTAGGTTTCCAAGGCAACATAGACATAAACAAAGCTGCCTCGAAGAATTTGAGTCAGATGTAGGCGATGTTGTGAAGAAATCTATCTCCAATAAAAGCAAGGTGGACATCAACAAGCCAACCATGAGTCTAGTGAAGAAAGCTGTTGGCCCCAATGAGATAAAACATAGTGAGCAGCCATCCTCAATTCCAAGTCAAGTGAGGCCAATGACTTCGCCATGAAACTGATGAAGATCATAGATGAGATGAATAAGGATAGTGATGTATCGCTGCTCAATTTGGCTTGGTGCCCCTTGGTGACTCACAAGTAGTGGGTAGGTTTATAGTGCCCACAATGTCGAAGGTGTGGGCATGCCACCTATTGGATACCTTCCCAAACTTGACAACTCGCAGCAAAGCCAAAAAAGTGGTGGTTGAAGACATCTTTGCAATTCTCTATGTAGCCATGCGACAGATGGAGGTAACCCTTTTCACTGAGATAAATGAGGACTTTTTCTATCTGTGTAGAGATGCCATTGATGATACTGAGAGCATAAACTTCGAGGTCAATGTCATCCGCACACATCTATCAAATCTAGCGAAGGCATACCTCAAGAAGATTGAGTTTAACATGACTAAAGGTGACACGGTTGGAAACTTGGACGATTGAATTAGGGAACGAGTGGAACACATTGCGGAGATGGAAAAGTCCTTGATTAAGACGAAAGAGCTTGTCCTCAAGTTGGAAGAAGGATCAGTGACAGCCAAGGCACACCTGGAATCGCTTAACCAAGAAAAAGAGCATCTAAGTTCCAACGGTGCAACTGAACTTTGCCAGGCTTTTATGGAGGCTACCAAGGCTTATGGAGATGAGCTTGGCCCTTTCTTGCCATGAGTGGCCATGCACCCTGGCTTTCTCTCCATTTTCTATTCTGCTCTCTTTGTTGTGTGTTAATTGTTGGCGATATTGCCATGATGTAACCCTCTTATTATGTTTGTTTTGGGTTGAACATCTTTATTTCCATCAAAGGCTGGAACCTATTACTTGTTTGTTTTCCTTGGTTGTGGCTTTCTATTGCACCGAGCGTGGTACTTAGACAAAAATATTTATACTATATGGAGGTGGATTAGAGAGGTTACTTCACGATTGTTTTGCATGGTGCATCTCTTTCTTTTCCTTTTTCTTCTTCTTTCTTTTTTTTTTTTCAAACACTCCCTATCCTTACATAGTGATGAAACAAAGTGAAAGGAAAGCAACCAAGCTAATACATAAAATGCCAAATACAATTAAGAGAGTGCTATTTGCACTTTACACATAATGACAAGACATAAGCAAAGTTAACCCTCTCGGTTATAGTAGATTGCAGTGCTAGAGGTAAAATTACAAAATGAATGGTGCTTACTTTCCAAGTAGCAATACTAGTAAAGCTTAGCAGAAATATGGCTTGAGCCATTTAGCGTTTACGAGGTCTGATAATGGTTCTCCTTCATGAGTTTTGAGGCAATAATATCCACTATCATGTGCTTCTGTGATGATGAAAGGCCGTCCCAATTTGTAGCAAACTTAGATGGGCTAGCGATGTTGCTCCTCACATGGTCAGAAGCTTTGAGAACCATCTGTCCAATTATAAAAATTTTGGCTTTGACTACACGATTATAAGCATTTGTCATCTTGGCTTGATATTTTTGAGTTTTTCTCGTGCTATTTGGCGAAGTGCTTCAATAGACTCCAAGTCTTCAATTCGCCTCTTGCCAAGATGTAGTCTTCAATTTGCCTTGTGCTATCAGCATTGCTATTTAGTTCAGATGCAACCAAGATGCATGCAATTGGCATTAGGACTTTGTCAGAAAGGACAGCATCACAGCCATACACTAGGAAATAAGGTGAAAAACCTATGTCATCTTGGATGATGTCCGATGAGCCTAAAGATTGTCTTACAAATGGACATTCCACTCTCTTTCATACTCATGGACCATCTTGCTCCAAATTCTTAACAAACTTTTATTGGTTGCCTCCGCTTGGCCATTACCTTGGGGATAGTAGGGAGTGAATTTTTTATGCTTGATCTTGTAGGTGTTTAATAGTCTTTGCACACATTGATTGACAAAGGGAGTCCCATTGTTGCTTACAATTTTGTAAGGTATTCCGAAGCAACAGATAATGTGCTAAAGCCCTTGGACCTAAAGCCTTGTGAAGAGGGACCACATCCACCTACTTAGTAAAATACTTAGTGGCCACAATATCCAAATGTAACCTTTAAAGGAAGTATGCATAGGGCTAATGAGATCTAAGCCCTAAGTGTGAAAAAGCTAAGGAGTTTTCATATCTTGCAACAAATTAGGATGAGAATGAATAAGGCTGGTGTGAACTTGGTAGGTGTGACATTGCTGATCAAAATATTCAGCATCTTATTTCTTACTTGGCCAATAATAACCATGGGACAAGAGTTGCTCATATAGCTTCCTCTGTCCCTAATGCTCACCACATTCTCCTGCATGCACCTTAGCCATAACCTTCTGATGTTATGGGTCTCCAACTATGACTTATTTAGGTCTCCAACTTTATCATAAATAAGGATTAGAATTTTCCTTAATTTGCCCTTACTTCTTCTTCTTCTTCTTTTTTTCTTTTTTTCTTTTTTTTATGTGGGACTCTTTTTTCAGACATGGCCTGTAATCGAAGATCTACCTCTAAGACGAGTTCCATTGCTGCAATTTTAAAAGTTGACTAGATTGTAGATTCCTTAGACCCTAAATAGGCTAAGAACTCTTACACTTTTCATCAACTCACATGCAACCATCTCCCTCATCAAAAGCTAGTCAACCAACAATCCTTACGTTGTCCAAATACTTTCCCATCTGCCTTTATTAAAGATGCCTAGGCTTTGTGAGTGCTTAAGTCCAAAAGGGGAAGCTTCATCAACTGCAAACAATGCTAGGTCTCTTTCCTTTCTATTACTCCCCTTCAACCATGAGGCTAACCATGCAATACCAACTACAATTGTAACACAATCGATTGGCGAAGAAGTAAACAAATGGTGTCCATCTATTGAACATGTGAGAAAGGTGCCATTCTTAAAGTGGCTTTTGGGATTGGTCAAACTTTATGATCAGGACTCTACGCCATCTTAAAATGGAAGATTAGCAACTGTAGTGATGTCAGCAACCAATGACCATGATTGTCCTTCCAACATGCTCTGTGCCATCATTGAGGTATAGTCTTTAAGTACCAATAAATTTTTAACTTTTGCAGAAAAAATTGGAATTTCACTTTTAGAAATGCAAGAAATTTCTTGCCTCCCAATTCAAGGAACAAATTATGATGAAGTGATTGTTAATTATTAGGAGATCACAGAGGATTTATAAGCTTACTGCTTGCTTTGGTTTAAGACTTTTCCTAGAATTTCTTGAGTAAGAATTCTAATTGTGTAAAGTATGATGATTGGCTTAAATTTTGGTATAATCTCAATCCATCCAATGCAAATTCACTCAATAGTAGGTGATATCCATATATGTCACAGTTAAGGTTTGAAGGCACTGGAAATCTTATTTTGGCTCCTAAACTTGACTGCCTATTGAAGTGGATGTATCCATTTGAGAGGAAAAAAAAAACAATCACCAAATTAATAAAATCAATTTGGTAGGTTAGATGTTCTTTTAGAGACAAGAGATAAAGACAGAATTTTAATTGTTATCCATCTTTGTGTTTGGCTTAGTAGATTTGTTTTTTCTAGATGAAGAAGAATTTCTAAGGTTGGAAAATTTAAAGTTGCAATGCAAATTGCCAGTGGAGCTACTTATAACCTTGTTCCCCATGTCTTGGCATGCATTTATCATAGACTTTAGCAACTATCAAAAGTGCCTGAATTGATAGTTGGTGAAGCTCACAAGAAATGAATGCCATGACAAAGCGAACAAGGTTATAGGTAGCTCCAGTGGCCATATGTGTTGTAGCTTTAAATGTTCCAACCTCAGCAAACTCTTCTCCATCTAGGAAAACAAATCAATCAAGCCAAGCACAAAGGTAAATAGAAATTAGAAATTTGTCTTTATCTCATGTCTCTAAAGAAACATCTAACCTACCAAGTTGGTCCCATTAATTTGGCATATTGGTTTGTTTCTTCTCAAATCATACATCCACTTCAATGGGCAGTCAAGTTTAGGAATTAAACATACCCGAATATTGCTTATAGTTAAGTGGATTTGTAAATTGTGGATTACGACTGTACAAATTCAAGCCAATTAGTATACTTTACATAATTCTTACTCTAGGCGATTGTGACAAAGGCCATTAATAGAAGCAGGTAGTAAAGTGACAAATCCTCTTGAAGCTCCTTGTAGCTGAGAACCACTTCTTTGTAGTTTTAAAAGTGAAATTCCAACCTCTCTTACAAAAGTTACAAATGTATTGGTACTTGGAAACCTTACCTCAATGGGGACAAGGAGTATGTTAGAAAGACAAGAATAATCATTGGCTACTGGTGCCATTACATTTGCTAAGTCCTCCATCTTAAGGTGGCATAAGATCTTTGTTGTAAAGTTTGACCAATCCCAAAAGCCACTTAAGAGTGACACCTTCCTCATATGGTTAATTGATGGACACCATTTGCTTACTTCTTGGCCAATTGATTGTGTTACAACTATAGTTGGTATTTGCATAGTCAACTTCATGGTTGGAGGGGATCAATAGAAAGGAAAAGGTTTTAATGTTGTTGACAGTTGATGGAGCTTCCCCTTCTGGAGTCAAGTACTCATAAAGCTTAGGCATCTTTAATGAGGGCAGATGAGAAGGTCCTTGGATAATGATGAGCTAATTCCACTCTAGCAAGTGCACTAGTTAGTTCAAGTAATATAATGATGAAAATAGAGTATCGTCCCACAGAGACTGTAGACTAATTAAGTACCAAAATTAACCAATTCTAATTTTATTTGAATAATTAAAATTAAATTATTTGAATAAACTAAATAACTAACTTATTAAAGTAAAACTAAATTGACTTTAAGTAACATTAAGAGTTAAAATTTTAAGGCATTCAATTTCACCATAATCAATTAATATAGAATTTAGATTAATATACTTCCAAGATATTTATTATTTATATGACAGCGAGATTTCTTATCCTATCTGATATACTTTATCAAGTTATACCAAACTTATCTTCACCTATTAACCCACTATATCTTTATATAAATTTAAATAGATAAAGATGCATTATATTCTGTGAAATTCCCCAGTTTACGTAGAAAATTAAGTCCATTTATCACTAATGCTGCACAAATGGTTTTTGTTCAATTCATGATATAAATTACTAGAAGCTATTGCATAAAATCTCCCTTCGGTCTCAATTATGCTCTCCAAATCAGTTTTAATGGTGGCCAATTATTAAAAAACATTAAAAACAATAATATATACTCTACATAAAATAATAAACTTTGAAAGTATAAAAATCATGAAACTATATTAAATTGATTAGGCTACATTGTAATCTTAGATGGCTAAATTAGTTCATAATCAAGGAAAAAAAAATCAGCAATCCCATGATGAATATATGAGTATCCAACATTATAAAATAAAATTCAAGGACAAGCAAAACCAGCTTGATGATATAAAATCTCAAGCCTTAATCTCCTTTTGTTGTTGAATTCTTCGTAGCCGTCTCTCTTGGTCTCCTCTCAAAAGCCCCCAAACTGATTTTTGAATGGGTATTTATAGAGCTTAAGAAACCCTATTAGAAGAGAAGTAGGACTTAGAACAAAATAGGAAATTGGGATTTTGGACGTTGAACGTATAGTGCTAACATCCTGAATGACGTGTCGACACAGAACAGGAAATATAATCTATAATTCTAATCGCTTGACGCATAGTGTTGACATTCCGATTATGTGTGGACACCACACCTATGTTGGGTTTCTGGCCTCATTTTTCAATTTCTTCAATGGTAAAATTTCAGATCTGATCCTCTAGGTTTTGTATGATGAGCATTGAGATCTCAAAACTTAAGATTCATTCATTTAAGCCCCAAAGAAGCCTTTTTCTTCTTGCAATTCAATCCCTCAACTTCCAAAAGATGTTCAATTAATTCCAAAAACTCCTATTATTATGCACCCAAGTCTTTTCTTGCACAAAAAATAAAACCCATGTAAAATCTCATAAAATTTATCCAAATATTAATAATATCAAGGCCAAAAATTCAACATTAATATATATAAATTCAACTCATCAGATAATATAGGGACTATTGGTTGAGTTAAGCACCATGAGTTAGAGCTCCTTAACTTTTGATGTAAGAGATGATTGCACATGGGTTGTTATAAAATGTAAGAATTGTTCAACTTGTTGAGGATCTAAAGAATTAACAATCTAATCATCTTTCAAAATTGTGGTGGTAAATATTGTCTTGAGGTTGGATTTCGAATTAGAGGTCATGTTTAGACAAAACAAAAAAAGAAAGAGAAAAAGAAAAAGCATCCCATACAAATAATAATAAGAAAAGGCAAAAACCAATTAAGGAAAGTTCTAATCTTTGATGTCATTGTCACGCCCCAAAACCCAAATTCGAGGCGCGACAGACGCCGTGCACTCGTAAGACGGTTCCCACAAATGCACAAGACTCGAAACTTATCAAATTCACACTCTGATACCATCAAAATCTGAAGATCAAATTATAAAATCTCTCTGATATCATAAATCTCCAATAAAATCTCCAAATACAAGATCATGATTCATATCTAAAATTTATATCCAATTACAATATGGCTAGCCTTCTAACTCGTCACTTCCCGTGGTTTCCCCGTCCTCGATTTCACTTCCTGAAATGGTGGACAAGGAAAAAACTATGAGATAAACTCAGTAAGTAAATATGGATTGCCCTTATTAAACTTAAAGCATGCCAACATGTGCAATCACGCAAAACGGATACAGTACGGGAACGAAATAGACGTCTCCTCTATAGGTTACGGCCAGCGTCTAACACCCACTGGCAGGCGCACTGTTTGCTGGTGTATAATCCCCACAAGCAGGGTCACTGTTTGCTGGTGTATAATCCCCACAAGCAGGGTCACTGTTTGCTGGTGTATAATCCCCACAAGCAGGGTCACGAATAACATATCGACATGTGCCAACATGTGCTAGCGTTTAACTCCCACTAGCAGGATTACAGAAACATATCGACATGTGCCGACATGTGCTAGCGTTTATAAACTCCACCACTAGCAGGGTCACTAATAACATGACCACATCGGAGACAAAACAGGCAGAAGTTAACAGAAAAATCATACTTTACCAATCACTTTCAAATCACTTTTAGATCATCAGGACAATCACTTAAATTTCAAGTAGGCATGCTCAATTTAGTGAAAAGCATAAAACATTTCACTTCAAATCAATCATACCTGTGTAAAACGGGTTTAGTCCTGCCACCACTTCAAAAACAAATCAAAACATGCTTTTAAAACAGTACGGGCATTATCATAAATTTACTTACCTCACTCGCATAAAACCGAGCAGTCAATCTTAGTGTTAACTGACAGAACGATCAGGAACCTAATCAAAACACCTCAGAATTAATACCGGACTAACACAAATTCAAGCTGAAATCATCATTAGGATTATTCCTAATCACAATGCTATTTCTATCACTTTCCACATGATCGAACATCTCCAAATTCGTTCTCATATCACAAACTAATCATTTAAATTCCCGTTAATTGTTGGCCCTCGGGGTGTGAACAGTGTCCATGAACAGTACCCACGAACGGTACCACGACATGAACAGTAACCCCGACGTGAACAGTAACCCGATATGAACAGTAACCCCGACTTTCACAAATTGGCCAAAACACTAGCTAATCTCACAGGATTTTCTCCAAAAATCACATAGCAGTCCATTAACATTCAATCATATAAATCTCACTTAATTGCTACCGGAATTTCCCCATTTCCTAGCCAAATTCGGACATCACAAGCAGCAACTTTAAATGGATAATTTAAGCCTTAAAAGGCTATCACATACCATAATTCTCCAGCTAAAACCGGAGCTGCAGATTGGGGAGGAGGCCGGCGGCAAGTGCAGGGGAGAAACTCACTGATCTACCCAAAATTAAAGGAGCCCAACTTAAATCAAAGCTAAAGAAGGGAGAATTCGAGCTATTTCTTACCAAAAAACAGAGCAATTCACCCCCACAAAAGCAAGAGCAGCCGGCGGAAGGACAGAGCAAAGCAGAGCAGATCCGGATTCTGCAGAGGGGTGGGGGAAATTTCTGGGTTATACATGTGTTGTAGAGCAAGAAAAGAAGGAGAAATCCAAGCTTATCTCACCGGTTTCTCAAAGGCATGGCTGGGTTCTCTTTCTTTTTCTTTCGAGTGGCTGCAGCGGGAAAGGGAAGAAGAGCAGAATCGGGCAAGGCTGGGAAGAAAAGAAAGAAAGAAAAAGAAAAAGAAAAGAAGTCATCCTTATCCAAAATCTTTCCCTCTTTAAGTCCCTCAACTTTTGAAATATTCACATTAGGCCCCAAAACAATCTTTCCTCACAATCAAGTCCCTAACTTACACTTAAATATTCCCAAAAATTTGGGATATTACAAACAATGTTAAACTTTTCAACACCTTTAAAAACATTTACAACATTAAGGTGTATATCAAGATCCATCTTATTATATTTAATAAAATTCATTTCAAGATTTTTTTTCCCTTCTATTAAATGAGGAATGGTAAATATCAATCAAATGCCTAGCTACGTGATAGACATGCTTTTGATATCCTTTCACTCCATATCAATAGCAAACACTCTTAGGCAACAAAAAGATATGATATCAATTTTGAATTTTTTTAAAACTAGACTCTCAATATTGTTATTGAAGAAGCAAATTTAAGATAGGAAAAGTGGAGAATGTCTTCTCCAATATGTTTCCATTAGTAATATTTTCTTTGTATAATTTTAATTGAGATGAAATTAGAAATACTATAGAATTATACTTATTGATAGATTTAAAATCTTACAACTATAGATGCATCCATTCATAATGAGCTTTTGACAAGAACATTGATTTTTGGTGATCATATCTTTCTTTTAAATTTTGCCGTAATTCTAATAAATCTTTAATTGTTAAATATTTAGCCTTCAATCCCTTATATAGATGATGATGAAGAAATATCATCACTTTAGCATGATCTTGCAAAGATGCTTGATTTCCTTCAACAATTGATTCTACATGATTGTTTGCAGCAAAATGGATTTCAACATCATATATCCATGGCAAATAATTTGAACCCATTATATCAAGTGTAGCAAACTCGAGTTTTGTTAAGTTTGACATTTTGTGTACAAAATTCTTTAAATGTTAATATAACATGAAAGTAATTGAAACTAGAAGCCAAAGATTTATCTTAAGACCTTACCACAAATCCTTACCACAAATTGGATGGTAGAGATAATTTGATGGGAATCAAGATGACCCCACATGTACCACGTCAAGAGATCCATTACACATTCCAGGAGGTCTAGTCACGAGAGCTAGAGCTAAGAAGATGCGAGAAGCTTTAAATGGCCTTATTGAGCAGATCTGGGTTGATAACAACATGCAACAAGTAAATC